CGGGAGGTCTTCGGCCGTTTTTGGCCTCTGGGGGCCCTCGCCGGGCCTCGGGACCGTCAAACAACGACTCGGTATGAAAAACCGTTCCTGGGGAAAGGGTTGGGACTTCAGGGGCCGCGTGTTGGTACCGATGCCGATGCTCGTCCTGGAGGACCATCGTCACCACGGCTGAATCCTCATCGAATTTCTCGTCAGGACGCACCCCGGGAGAGGTCCGGGGAGCAGCGGTATCGGTATCTTGCTGCCCCCCCATTAGGAGCCTCTTACCTTCCGCGCTGCCACAAAGATCACGACGACAGGTTGACTTTTTGGCTTCCGGGCGCTGGGACCGTCAAAAAGCGGCCCCAGGATGAAACGCCCCAGGCTCAAGGCTCCAGACCTCCCTGGGTCGCGCTGTGAAGAAAACTGCAGCCAAGACTCTGAAACGAGGACCAGTCCAGGTTCGGAAGGGGCTCGCTGTTCCTTGCGCTCCTCCATGGCTTTTCCTCCCTCACTCCTCGTGCCCTTACTTGGGTGCTTCTGGGGACGCAGAGGGCCGTTCCCTCTGGCTCGTGTCCCGATGGTGCGGGCCCCATGAACATGCACCACCACCGCGTCGATTCCTCCCCCCTTCCACTGCCCTCTTCTTCCTCTTTTCTGGGGGAGGGATGGGGGGGGAAGGAGGCGGTGGTGGTGTGCATGTCTGGGCCCCGCAGGTCTTTGCGACGGCAGAGATCTGCACAGGGCCCCGCGCGGCACGAGGCTGGGTTTCGCAGGCGCACCCGTGCACCTCCGGCGGGCTCTCTCCGGCGGGCCGCTCCGCTGGCGGGCGGGCGGGCCCCCAGAGAGCAGGGATCGGCGGCTGGCGAGGGGGGAAAAGTCAGGAGGGGAAAAACCACACAGACACAATTCATCGTCGACTCCCAGGAGAATATGGGAAAATATGGGAAGTGGGGGGGAAGACGAAAACCCAGAAAATATGCGAAAATATGGGGAATCCTGTTATTTGTGTGTCCTTGGACCCCTTGAAAAAAGGAGGAAAGAACAGCGAAGCGTGGAGAGAAGGAAGAGGAGGAGGGCGGGTCGCGCGCCGCAGCAAGGAAGCCGCAAGCGCCCAACTCCAAGAACAGCGCGCCCAACATGCTTTGAAGCCCAGGGGGGGAAAGGAGGACCGAACAGCGAAGCGTGGAGAGAAGGAAGAGGAGGGCGGGTCGCGCGCCGCAGCAAGGAGAACGCAAGCGCCCAACTCCAACAAGCACAACACGCGCAACATGCTTTGAAGCCCACATAGAAAACGATGTTGGGTCTAGGCGCGTCGCAGCACCCTGCCATTGACTGCAACGTTTGCCTGTCGGGGGCAGGGGTCGGAAATGAGAAGGAGAATGCCTTCTCGAAAGGCGGCGGGACTTCTCAGAAGCCTTCGCGCCTTCTGAGAAGCGTTTGCGTCTTCGGGGGAGGCTCAGAAAACTTCTCAGACGGCCGGGGGACTTCCGAGCTTTGTGAGAAGGCCCGCCCCGCGGGGCTCGCCGCCGAGATGAGCGGCCCGGGGGCGGATCTTGATGGTCGCGCTGGTACGCAAGCGGGCGGCCCGTCGGCGAAGCGGTCTGTCGACGTTCCTTCGGCGAGGCGATCTGGGCGGAGCGGTCCGTCGGCGAAGAAGGTGCGCCGGCGAAGCGGTCCGTCGGTGAAGCAGATCAGAAGAGCAAGAAAACAGCATAAGAAGAAACGGCGCAAACATACAGTTGAGCTTCATCAGTAGGTCGACTCTTCCAGATTATGGGTGTCCTTGTGTCCCGTGTGTTTGCGCCCCACGGCCTCTGCAGTCCTCTTGGGGCAGCGTGGCACTCGGAAGGGTCTTGTGCCCTCTCCTGTGTCCTCTCAAATCGAACTCGGCTGTAAACTCTTGGATTGGATGAATCGCCAGGGGTTTCAGCGCCGATCCAAGAAATCCGCGCCGACCTATGAACGTTTTTCCCCAATCAGGCTTGCCTAAGGGGTTCTTACTTGGTTAAAGGTTGGTGCCTCGGATTCTTTCGTTGCCCGTTGCCCGGGGGTTCCCTGGGTTTCTCGGGTTCACCAGGTTCCTTTCCTTCGGTGCCTCCGATTCTTACATTGCCCGTGGCCTGGAGGTTCCCCTGGTTCTTCGGGTTCCCCGGTTTCCTCGGGTTCCCCACGTTCCTCGGGTTCCCTGGGTTTCTCGGGTTTCTCGGGTTCTTCGGTTCCTCGGGTTCCCCAGCAGGTTCCTCGGGTTCCCCAGCAGGTTCCTCGGGTTCCCCGGGTTTCCCCGGTTCCTTGGGTTCCCCGGGTTCCTCAGGTTCTTCTTGTTCCCCGGGTTCCTCGGGTTCCATGGGTTCCTCGGGTTCTTCGGTTTCCTCGGGTTCCTTTGGTTCTTCGGGTTCCCCGGGTTTCCCAAGCAATGCGAAGCAATGCCAAGCAAAGCCAAGCAATTCCAAGCAGTTCGATGCAATGCCAAGCAATGGCAAGCAATGGCAAGCAATGGCAAGCAATGCCAAGCAATGCCAAGCAATGCCGGGCAAGGAAGGCCAAGCAATGCGAAACAATGCCAAGCAATGCGAAGCAATGCCAAGCAAAGATAAGCAATGCAAATTAATGCCAAACAATGCGAAGCAATGCCAAGCAATGCCAAGCAATGCCAAGCAATGCAAAGTAATGCCAAGCAATGCCAAGCAACGCAAAGTAATGTCAAGCACTGCGCCCATGCAGTACGAAGCTTTCCCCTAGTTGGGGTCGCGCTGGTTTCATCGTTCATGCAGATTGTCTTGTTATCCGTAAGGGCTTCGCCCCCTGCCGCCGGCCCCCTCTCTCGGAGAATGGGCCATGGAAGAGCTAAGTCATGAGGCTTTGGCGCTGTCGCGCAGCAGTATCGGAACTTCATGCGAGGCCGATTCGCAATCGGCAAAACCAACTGATCACAAGAGGGGTTACCACACAGGGCGATTGGTAAGACGTGTATGGTTTACGAGCTTGGTTACCACACCTTGGGATTAAAGGGCCGAGGGAGTACTCGCAGTTTGGGTTACCACGCCTTGCGATGGATGTCGTGAGGGGTGGCACCGAATTTCAGAAATGTGGCAAATCCCCTGTGTTTTTGGACCCTGACCCCGCGGATCTGCGTGAGGGGTGGCACCGAATTTCAGAAATGTGGCAAATCCCCTGTGTTTTTGGACCCTGACCCCGCGGATCTGCGTGAGGGGTGGCACCGAATTTCAGAAATGTGGCAAATCCCCTGTGTTTTTGGACCCTGACCCCGCGGATCTGCGTGAGGGGTGGCACCGAATTTCAGAAATGTGGCAAATCCCATGTGTTTTTGGACCCTGACCCCGCGGATCTGCGTGAGGGGTGGCACCGAATTTCAGAAATGTGGCAAATCCTGTTTTTGGACCCTGACCCCGCGGATCTGCGTGAGGGGTGGCACCGAATTTCAGAAATGTGGCAAATCCAATGTGTTTTTGGACCCTGACCCCGCGGATCTGCGTGAGGGGTGGCACCGAATTTCAGAAATGTGGCAAATCCTCTGTGTTTTTGGACCCTGACCCCGCGGATCTGCGTGAGGGGTGGCACCGAATTTCAGAAATGTGGCAAATCCCATGTGTTTTTGGACCCTGACCCCGCGGATCTGCGTGAGGGGTGGCACCGAATTTCAGAAATGTGGCAAATCCCATGTGTTTTTGGACCCTGACCCCGCGGATCTGCGTGAGGGGTGTCGATTTCGAGCCCCCCCCAGCAATTCAGACAACGCGCCCAGGGGGTGCTAAAAAATCCTGTTTGGGCCTCCCCCTCGCCTCGCCCTCAATTAGTCAGTAACCAGCAAGAACTGTAACACTGGAAAGCTGTAACACTGGAAACTACAAGCTACAACTGGTATTGGAAACTGCGAACCCGCGCCTACAGCCTGGTGGCCCCACAAGGGGGCCGGCGGATACTGCCCCCATGTCTCGCTACGAGCAAACGAGACGTCGAGCTCGGCAGCCAGATCGCTCCTGGATGGCGCAGCTTCAGCCATCTCCAGTGCGAGCTGATGGACCAACGATTTCCACTGCACTGCCATCTCTGGCTGCAATGCGACCGCCAGCCTATGAACATTATGTGTGCTTGCACTTTCATGAGTTCACTACCCGGCAGAGAACACAACGATAAATGACTAGTCTGGTAGTAGATCTCCACGACGACTATCACAGCACGCGACTCTGGCGACACCGCTTCCAGACCAGACATCACGACGGTCGCTGATCGACCAGACACCCCTCACCACCGCGACAAGTCCGACACCGACGACGGGGACGTGACCCACGACCAGTCCCTGCCACATGCAATCAGTGGCAACAGAGTAGTGGGAAGCAGAAATCCACCAGCCAACATACCCTGTGGACAGGCGCAAACAACATGGAGAGACGATACCGTGAGCTTCCTGGCCAGGTCAAGTATGCACACTCGTCAGAGCGTTGGCTGCGGGCAGCTGCAGACACCCGATGGACACACGCGTTTCAGCACTGGGCGGTCCTGGGCCCCTGGGCGAGTGGATGCGCCTTGTCTGGGCCCTGAGATCCGACGTTGCAAAGAAATTACAGCACCGCAGAAAATTGCGCCCGGACCCCCGGACTCCATCTGTCTGCATCATTTTTGGCGTCGGATTTCTGTGAGGGTCCTGGGGCCCGAAATCGAGCGAAAACGCACGTGGCGAAAAAATGGCAGCACGAGGATCTTCGGGGGGGCCCCCGCGCTGTGGTGACCACACCGTGCGCCGAGCCCGGTCTCCGAGGGCGCCTCGGGCGAGGGGGGGGGGCCTCCGGCGTCCCAAAACCTGCGGCGGGCGGCGGGCCGTGCGGAGGTGGTCTTCGGGGATCTCGAGGCCACCGCGCGGTCTCTCACCGCACCGCTCGTTGGACCCCCAGCCGGTCCCTGCCTCCAGCGTCGTTCGTCTCTGTGCGTCGTCGTCGTCGCCGTCGTCGTCGTCGCCGTCGCCGTCGCCGTCGCCGTCGCTGTCGCCGTCGCCGTCGCCGTCGCCGTCGCCCGTTCGTCCGTCGCCGTTCGTCGGCGTCGCAGTCTGTCATTTAGGCGTTCGCCGCCGCCTCTGACACCCTGCGCAGTCCCGCGGGGTCCGCCCGCAGAGGACTGCTCTTCCCGGGGCAGGGCTCGCAGTACGTGAACATGATGAGGTCGGTGAAGGACGCCGGGCAGGGAGGGGGGCAGGAGTCGAGGAGCAAGAAGCGGCACAAGCATACACTTTAGGAGGCCCGCGCGGATTTCGCGGATCGGCGCCAGAACCCCACGGCGGCGCCTCCGGCGCCGCCGCTGGCGCGCTCCGCGCGCCAGGGAGGGGGGGTCCATCGCTGGTTCAAGAACTCCGCGCGGACCTACAGTTTATGCTTACGTCCTTCTTTGTTCCTCCAAGCAGGGCGGACGGACGGGGAGAAGAATATTAAATGTTGGTTGGCATCGCCAGCGGGGTGCAGGGTTTCGGCTGGTTGACACACCGACTCATCGCGGCGCAGCCTGGCAATAGTAAATTGGGGGCGCGGGTTGTTTCGGGCGGGGCTAGGACAAGGATAAGTCCGTTCCAGAGCGTGAGCGTTCTGGAACGCTCTCAGAGTGTTCCTGAACGCTCTGGGAAGGCCGCGGTGCCCGAGACATGCTCCAGAGCCGCCGGATTTCAGAGATTCTCGATTCATCCTCACCCGCATTTGTCCTCGTCCTGGCTTCGTCTTATGGGCGCTCAGACGAATCAGCACAAAAGGTGCAGGCCCGAGATCGTCCGAAGGAGGGGGCCGAGCGGCCTCACACCCCGCTTCTTTGGTGAGTGGTCGAGGTGCATCGAGCACAAAAGAACGCCCAATCCTAACAACACGATGAAGACGTCGCCTCTCTGAGGTCCCCGTCATCGCATTAGGGATCATCATTCTAGGCGGCTTGGTCTACATCTGCAGAAGAGATCCCCTCTATCCCTGATGTTTTTGGCCCTCCTTGCCGAAAGTTGCCTTTTGGTGCCTCTTTCTGGCATTGCAGCGTTGCCCACGTCGGAGAGTACACACCCTGAGATCCTTCAGCTCAGCGATCTGGCCCTCGAGCGTCTCCATGGCGACTTTTGGAGGCGAGAATTACTGAACTGAAGAATCTCGGTGTCCTGGCATGCCGAAACCTATCGTTTCACAGTTCAGTGATCCTGGCCTCCCTGGACGCCATGGAGACGCTCAGGGGCCAGATCGCTGAGCTGACGGATCTCAGGGGGCGTAGGGAGGATTGGGTTCGCCGGGTCACTGGCCAAAGTGCCCGTTAGTGTTAAGTCGGGCCTGTCCCTCTACAGGGAAAATATTCAGAAATAGTCAAACATTTTCTTTTTGATCATTTTCGGGGTACTTGTTTTTATTCGTCCAAAATCCGCCTGCAGGAGGGCATGCCCGACCTAACCGTTGGTGGAGTGCCCGTGAGTCGCGCGCCAAGCGGGGCCGCGCAGGGCCGTGCAGGGCCGCGGCCGTGCCATGCCCTTTGGCACGGGGGCGCCCCCCCCCTCCCCCTCCCCCGCGGCCCCCTGCAGGCGCGCGGGCGCTCGCCGCCGCCTCGGGGGGGGGGCGGAGGGAGGGGAGGATAGGATAGACATACACACAGGGGAGGGGAGGGGAGGATAGGGGAGGGGAGGGGAGGATAGGGGAGGGGAGGACAGGGGAGGGGAGGGTAGGGGAGGGGAGGGGAGGAGAGGGGAGGGGAGGATGGGGGAACGAAGAATTACATAAGCATGAAAAACCTGCGCCGCCAGGGGGGTCCAGCGCGGATCCGAGAAATCCGCGCGGACCTCCAAGTTTATATGTTTATGTCATTGCTCGTTCCCCTAGGGGAGCAGGCGCTTCTGCGGGGGCCTGCTCGTGAGGAGGTGCCACTCGCGGCGGGAGGGGGCGTCTCTCGCCTCGGCGGCGAGGCCGAGGGGAGAGGTGAAGAAGGGGGCCGGCCTGCTCAAGGAGGCTCAGGAGTCCCCCGGCCTTCGGAGGAGTGTTCCGAGCCTTCCGGAGAGATACAGGGAACTTCGCAGAAGGCGCGAGGACTTCTGAGAAGTCTTGCCGCCTCTTGAAGGGGGCCTTCTCCTTCTCATTTCCCCCCGTCGTTCGCCGCCGATGACCAGCTTGAAGCATATCCCTGTCCCTAATTATGCCTATGTTTGGCATCACCTTCCCTCGGTGCCGATCTTAGAAGCTCCCTCGGTTTCTGAGGGCACATCCCTGAGATTATCATCGCCTTGGGCTTGCCGATCGTTAGTTTCGGGGGCGTCCACGATCGGTGCGGTCGAAATGGGTACGGAAAGAATGGATACGAAGGCCAGTTGCAGTGCATGCCCATTTTGAGCAGGGCTCGCTGTCGGCGTCGCCGCTGGCGCTCTCCATTCGAGACAGAAGGCCGCCTGCCCAACAGCGGCCGCTGTCGGTGTTGGTCAGCAATTGCTGTGGGCATCGTACCTTGTTCTTCCGTACCCACTTCGGGCGTCCAGACAAGAAGGGGTTGAGGGCTTTGTGGAGGGGCTTCTTGACGCCGCCGCCGTCGATGCAGCGGCGTTGCGTCACCGATGCATCGACGATGTGGCGCGATCCTGCGACCCCTTCTGCTCTGGGCCGCACTTGGGAGACCTCCCGGGTTGGTGGTTCGGGGGCGTCCGGGGAGGGGTGTGTTCGTGTGGTTCTCGTGGCTCGGGCCACGCGATCTCCCAGATCTCGTGGCCCCCTCTTTCTGTCTCGGGACGTCTCCGCGCACACTGCCTCGGTCCATGATGCGCACCTCGGTCTTCTCAGCACAGGTGTTCAGTCGGGCATGTCCCTCCACAGGAGAATCTATCCAACCACCACATACGGTTTGACTTTTTCTGGACTCCCTCCCGAACCCCGCCCGTAGGAGGACGTGCCCGACCCAATATGAGCGGCGTGCGCGGGACTTCCTCTGGGGCCCCCTTCGGCCCCCCTTCTCTGCCACCCCTCTGCCCGACGGGGGGGCGGGGCGCGCAGGCCAGCGCCGAGGATCCGCAGCTTCCGAGTTTTGTGTTTTCTGTTGGAGGCCGAGCCGCCGTCTTCGAGGCGAGAGGAGGGAGCTTCCAGGAGGGAGGTCGTCAGAGGAGGGAAACAAACCCATACCTCTACCCTTCGGCCGTTTTCCCCTTTGCGGGCCTCCTGGGAGGCCCTCGTCGCCACCGCGGGATTCGCCTCGAAATTCTGGTCCGAACGCACCCCAGGAGAGGTCTGGAGGGTAGCGGTATCGGTACCTTTTTGGTTCCCCAGGTCGAGCTTCCATTTTGAAGATTTTTGGTCCGCGATTCCGATTTTCTGTTGGAGGCCGAGCCGCCGTCTTGGAGGCGAGAAGAGGGAGCTTCCAGGAGGGAGGTCGAACCTCCGTTTTCAAGATTTCTGGTCCGCGATTCCGATTTCTTGTTGGAGGCCGAGCCGCCGTTGTGGAGGCGAGAGGAGGGAGCTTCCAGAAGGAAGGTCGAGCCTCCGTTTTCAAGATTTCTGATCCGCGATTCCGATCTGTTTTGGAGGCCGAGCGGCCGTCTTGGAGGCGAGAAGAGGGAGCTTCCAGAAGGGAGGTCGAACCTCCGTCTTCAAGATTGCTGATCCGCGTAGGCCAGCCCAGAGGATCGGCAGATTCCGATCTGTTTTAGAGGCCTGACCGCCGTTTTGCAGGCGAGGAGAGGGAGCTTCCAGCCTGGAGGCCAGATCTTCATTTTCCAGATTTTGAAGGCCTTCCGGCCGATGCCGCCAATCCTGAACGACGACGACGACGACGACGACGACGACGACGACGACGACGACGACGATTTTCGAGATTTCTGATCCCCCTGGAACTGCCGCTCGCCAGGACATCCCCGCCGTGCGCGAGATGCTGCAGAAGGCCGAGCCCATTCTCGGGTTCGACGTCCTCGACTTGTGCCTCAACGGGCCCGACGCGAAGCTCGAGGAGAGGGGAGAAGAAGAGGGGCAGGGGGGGAGAATGGAGGCAGGAAGCGGGGGGGGAGAGTAGAGGGAATGGAGGGAGGAGCGCGGGGGGGAGGGCGATGAGGATTCCTCGTCGCCCTCTCGCCCTCCTCCCTCCGCTCTCCCCCCCCGCGCTCCTCCGATGCGAGATCCGCCCTTCTCCTGCTCCTCTTCCGAAGAGGGGGTTCGGAGGAGGAAGAGATACCGCTACCGCTACTCCTCCCTCGTCGCCACGGTTTGGATTCGCCTCGAATTCCTGGCCAGAACGCGCCACTGGAGGGGTCCAGGAAGTAGCGGTTTCGATGCCTTTTTCTGTTCCCCCAGGGGGGGCACCAAGAGAGAGGCGGCTTGTGGACAGTGGAAGGGGCGAGAGAAGGGGGGGGGTGCGAAGGGGGAGGAGAGGGGAGCAGGACCGCCAGAGGGGGTGGGGGGGTGAATGGGGCGCAGGAGGCATGAGCGGGAACCACGGGGGGCGGGGGGCGGGGGAAGAGCGGGGCACGCCGCGGGAGAGGCCCCCTGGAGGGCACACTGCGGGGAGGAGACCCGCTACTGCCAGCCGGCAATGTTCGTCGCCGGCATGGCTGGGCTCGAGAAGCTGAAGCTGGACCGGCCAGAGGTTCACCGAGCGAGCGCGTCCCACTACTCGAAGGAGAAAAACGGCATAAACACAAACTTTTGGCGCTCCGCGCGGATTTCTTCGACCTGCGCTGGCCCCCCCGGCGGCACCTTCGGAGCCGCCCCTGGCGCGCTCCGCGCGCCAGGGAGGGGGCCAGCGCAGGTCCAAGAACTTCGCGCGGACCGCCAAAAATGTAAGTTTACGCCGTTTTCGTCCTCTCTCTCCGAGCGCAGTCTCTCACCGAGCGCAGTCCCTCTACTCGCAGAGTGCCTGCTCGGAAACGCCTTAAAAGACTCATGTCTGCCTCGACGTACTGTCCTCGAGAACACGAGAGCCCCTGACCCTAATGACACGAGGAAGACGTGGCCTCACTGAGGTCTCCGCATTTGGGGTAATGATTCTGGGCGGTTTGGCCTGACACTTCTGCAGAAAGGACCCGCTGTCCCTGATGTTTTTGGCCCTCCTACTTCAGGTCCCCTCCCAAAGGGTTGAGGGCCCTTCCTTGATGAATCATGCTGGGCCCTGCATCCCCCGCGGCGGACTCGGGCCGTTTGCGAGCAGCTGCTGTGCGAGTGGTGGAGCGCGCAGGCCTGGAGTCGGCGCCACCCCAACATACTGATACTATCTGTGCGTCGCCCCCCCCTGTGGCGACGCTAGGCTCCGTGGGTGGCGCTTTCTGGCCGTACCGCTCCAGAAACGATACATTACAAGACGGTCATACTATACCATCAGGTCGGACGCACGCCCCCAGGGAGGACACATCGGACTAGTATGTCCTTCTGCGTCCCATGTATCCAGGGAGGAAAAACCACCCGGAGCGGACAGCTGGCGTTTACGAAGCGGCCCTGGGCGTTTGCTGAAAGCCCTGCCCTGTCGGATTCCTTCCCTGCGGGTGCGTTTCCTGAGCGGCCTCGCGCGTCGGGGTGATTCTGATTATGGGGGTGGTTCTTCCGCGCCCTCTCCCGGAGGTGGCCGGGGCCTTCCGCGTGGCGGCCGGCCTGTCTCTGGGCGAGTACACCGCGCTGTGCGCGGCCGGCGTCTTCAGCTTCGAGGACGGCCTGCGGCTGGTCACGCGCGGGCGTCCGAAGGGGCAGTGCTCTCTCCGTGCGGGGGTCTGCGTGCGCGCGCCGCCCTCCTCCTCCTCCTCCTCCTCCTCCTCCTCCTCCTCCTCCTCCTCCTCCTCCTCCTCCTCCTCCTCCTCAAGAGGGCCTGCTCGCGTGGGCCTCGCGCGGCGCCCTTCCGTCGGAGGGAGGGGGCCTCGCCGTGGGCCCCACGTGGGCTCCCTCGTGGGGCCTCGTCCGACGAGGGGGCCTCGTGCGGCTCCCTCGCGCGGGCCTCGCGCACCGACCCTGAGATCCAACGAATTGAAAAAATCAAGACAGAGATTTTTCGCACTTTTTGGCCTTAGGGGCCCTCGCCTGGCCCCGGACCGTCAAACAACGATTCAGGATGAAAAGCCGGTCCTGGGGAGTCGGTCGAGACTTCCGGGGACCCCGTATTGAAAAAATCACGACATCGGATCTCTGGGGATGCCGCTGCCCTTCGCCCGCTCTTTCCCCGCTTCGGCCTCCCCGGAGGCCCTCGTCGCCACCGCCAGATTCGCCTCGCAAGCTGGGTCAGGACGCAGCTCGGGAGAGGTCCGGGAGAGGCCCTCGACCCTCCCCTTGATCCGAGGAGCAGGGCTCAGACCCCCCCGGCGGGTCGCGGACAAGGTCGCGACGGGAGGTTTTGCGCTGTTGTCGGCCTCTGGCGGCCCTTGCCGGGCCTCGGGGCCGTGAACAAAACGACCCAGGAAGAAAAGCCTGTCCTGGGGAAGGGGTCCAGACCTCTGTGGGTCGACGTTATGGACAGAATCACGACGTCGGGGTTTGGGGAGGAGATGACATGATGGGTTCCAAGATGTCCAAGGTGTCCAGGGTTTCCCCCATTTCCTGATGTTCCGCACCGGCTGCGCCGCTAGATGCTCCTTGGAAATCCTGGAACATATCCTGAGCCAATCTTACCATGACATCGTTCTCGCCCCATCCTCTCCTCCCCACTCGTTGCCGCCCCTCCCGCCTCCCTCGGCTCCATCAGCTCCCCCCACTCCCTTTCCTCCCTCCCCCTTCTTTCCCTCCCCTCCGTCCCTCCCTCCCTCCCTCCCTCCTCTTCCTCCTCCCAATTTCCTCCTCTCCATCCCAATCACTCCTCTTATGCTCTCTCCTTTCGCTCCCCTCATCGTCCTTCAGAGATACGATGTCATCGGGCCCCGAAGTCTCCACGAGCCACACCGAAGCAAGGGGGGCCCAGCGGTTGTGCACTGTCCCCGTGTGCGCAGCGGAAGTTGGGCTCCTCCGTGCGGATTTTCGTCTTCGCTCGCGTCGTCGTCGCCGCCCACGCCGCGACCCGCCCGCGACCGCCCCGCGACCCACCCGCGGAACGCCAGCGACGCGCCCGCAACCCGCTCCCGTGCCACCCACACGGCTCTGCGAAGCATGTCGCTGCCCACCTTGGGGCTTGCGGCTCGTGTGAGTATTGCTCGACTCGGAGGTGCCCTTCAATGTATACCTCTTCTCTAACGGTTACGCCCTCCTTTCGCGGCGTCGGAGTATGTGCGAGTCCGACTCTCAGATGTTTTGGGACTGAATCGTCGAGTGCGAAGAAGGCTGTAGGGTGATGACGTTGAGTCATAGTATCTCTACGTATGCGTGGGTCTGCACACGAAGAAATCCGAGTATGGATGGGTCTGAGTACACGTGGGTCTGGATATGAGTGGGTCTAGACACGAGGGAGTCCGAATGTGAGTGGCTCAGCATTATGTGTGGCTGAGTTCGGGTGAGTCTGATTCCGAGTTGGTAATTGTGGGAGTAGGTCTGAGTGCGCATGCGTCTGGACGTGAGTTATTGGAGCCTCGTGAAGCCCAAATGCGATGCCAGCTACGTCGGCGTGATTACGTCTAA